AAAGATCCGTGCTAGAGGCTGGGCTATGATGCTCACCAGCTCCTTGAGTACCCTGGGGTGAAGATTGTCAGGGCCGGCTGACTTGAAGGTATCCAGCTTCTCCAGATGTTCCTGGTTTCTTCCTGAAATGATCTGGATCAAAACTATACCTCTTACACACAGCCTCTTTAAAGATATCATAGTCATTCACCAACTCAGTGGGCAAGCTGCTAAGGATAATAGCCATGTTGCCTGTTACTAGCCCAGCAATATATCTCATGTACTCTTTTTTCCCCCAAGTTCCAGCAGCACGCTTGGTTTTAGAAATTACTCAGGAACACCTCTGGATCCTCTTCATCCTTAGTTGGGGAAAAGTCCTTGGGGGTCACCCTGGGCAGTGTAGCTTGCTTTGTCTGGTGCAGCTCAGCCCCGTGCTGGCACTATGCCTCCTTGGCTTCTATCTCTTGCTTCATCTGGAGCATCTTGATATCCTGCCGATGTTTTGCTTCTAGCTCTCTGGCCCCTTGCTCGGCCTCATGCTTGAGCTGCATTTCTTGGGCTTCTAAATCATGCTTGTGTTGTTCGGCCTCATGCTTGCGCTATGTCTCTTGGGCTTCTAACTCCTGCCGGCATACTTCTAGCTCTAGGATCCAAAGGCGGTTCCGCTTCTTGAGCAGTTCCATCTCCTTGGGGCTCCTCCTCTGAAACCCAAGGTAATGGGCTCCTTTTGCTCTGCTCCCACTTGGAACTGCGGTGGGAGGTCCCTGGGCTCAACCACTGGCCTGCAGAGACCCATTCAGGTCCTTTTTATTTTGCCCCACATGGGCTGGGAGGCCCCCCTGAGTCAGTTCCTTCAGCAGTTCTTCCATGGACATTTTGGCATAATTATTGGTAATTCTATCTGAACCCTGTCCGGTTGACACAGTGCCAAATCAAAGACTTGTTTGCTCAAAGGTTTTCAGTGACACTGCTTCCTCCACCAAGGTTATGCATTCCAGAGAGCAATCTGAGGGATCTCACCTCTGCCACTATGTGGCAACACAGTAGGGGGCACTACTATGCAGAGCCACCCGCCTCACTGTGCCACTCCCATTGTCTGCATGCAGAAAGGAGTAACTTACCAGGAACATAACTAGGAACTAAGTTTAATCGCGTATCAAAAGGCTGACAAGCCATAGACTTGCTCAAGGTCGGTTTTCTTTCTGTATTTTGCTATTGGTATTCCTTCCCCTCCATCCATCCTTGATCAATAAATCTGTTTTAGCACACCTCGCTGTTTGTGCTTAAGAGGGAAGGGACTGGCTAAAGTGCGCACGGTGATTTTACTTTCTTTCTGCACAGGAGGCTGCTAGTGAATGCTTCGGGCTAATAGGAAAACTCCCAAATCCCAAGGTCTACAGGCCCTGTGTATCCCGGGTGGCATAGGGCCCAGAAAAAGACCTGAGTATGGGTGGTGACAGCAGTACCCCAGGCATGAATGCCACGTGCCTCACACATCCCGCCCTATTCCATGCAGCCCTTTGGGTGCTCCTTGGGCCCTACTCTAATCGGCCCTTCAGACTTCTTCACTCACAAACCTTTCCTGGGAAAGGTCACACACTCTAGCCGGTACACATGCAACCCTACTCTTCATGGCTGCTGGCCTTCTGCCCCACCCTGAGCTGAACTCAGCCACTGGCCTCTCTCCAGGTCACTGTCTGCCTCCTCCCTGGGGATTTTCTCTCTGGCCACCATGGCTCCTCATTTGTCTTTTCCTCAGACCTCCTCTCTGCAGACTACACACACTCAGTCCATGGGCCTCAGGTGTCTGAAGACGTGCCTGCCATCCCCCACCTTTACGTCTGTTCTCCAAGTGACCCACCAGGTAGTTGGATCTAGGCTTATAAGGTACCCCTACCTACCTTTCACTGAGGAGGCAATAGGCATGGCATTTCTGGGGAATTAACCTGCCACACGTAGTCCTACCAAGCCATCCTTACCCAGCCTTACCATCCCCATAGCTCCTGCCCTTACCTCCAAGGTTTTCTGAGCAGCAGCTTAGCCAGGTAGCCTTCTTCCAGCTGCCAGCAGTAGACTGCTGGCTTAGCCCCGAGGCCCTGGATTTAAAATGGAGGCTGCTCAACCCCTTCCTCCAATCCCAGGGCCCTCCTGGATTCATGTGACCTCTTCTTTAGGGCTAGCCCACACCTGAAGGCTGCCCTGCTGCCTGCTCTCAAGCCTTAAAATGACAGACACCAGAGGTGGTCTGCCACAGCCAGTGTCTACAACTGCTTGATCTCCAGGTCCTCGTCCTCATCCTCATCAAAACCAGCAAAGGCATCCTGCAAACATGAAGACGGTAGCAGGACAGAGCTGAGAGTGCCAGGTGGGTGTGTGGTAAGACATTACCACTCATTCTGTGCAGAAAGCCAGCCAGACCCAGCTCTACTGGCCCTCCACTGCCAGGGTCCCCACCTTGGTCTTCCCAATGGTTTTGAGTGACATGCCAGTCTAGCCTTCATCAGCAATGGAGACACCAACAGGGTCCATCTTCAGCTCGATGTACTCATGCCGCTTACCCCAGCTTCTTCAAGATCTTCTTTTTCTTCCTGGGTAAATAATCAGATGGAGCTGGTAGGGGCACAAGGTTACATTTGGGGCTCGCCCTGGAAGTCCAGGCTTCTCCACAAACTGCAGCAGGGGTGGGAGCACTGCCAGCCCGGGCTGCTCACTGACGAGACACCCCCAACCTGCCCCATCTCAGGCATATCATCCCTGCAACCCTGTCCCAGGAATCACCCAATCGGCACAGCTCTCAGCACTCCCTAAGGAGCCAAGGAACAAAAATGGAGCATCAACACCCACCCTGAGGGTTTGCTATCTACCTTCCCTCTTTTTTTAATGGTCTTGCTGTTCCACTAATCAAGCAATTCTTTCTTCTGCAATTCTGCTGTCTGTTCATGGCTCCCAGTAACGCAGGTCCTAGTTCACAGCCCTGCATCCTGTTTTAACAGATAGCTAAAAGCATTACCTCAGGTGTGGAAATGTTAACTCAAGTGAACATTAACTCAGGTGTGGAAATACCTTTCAGTGGAGCACTGGATACACTGTCAAAATACTCAAGAAGGCTTGATTTTGTTTTATAACTCTGAAAGAGATGTACATTCAATTCTGATGACTACCAGACTAAAGAACAGACATCTTTAGATTATTTTTCCGCAGTTGTTTTTTTCAATGCATAATATATGATGTAACAAAGTAACATAAATTTCAATAAAAATACATTTGTTTCAGCTTCAATCTTAAATGGAATAATATAGCCCGAGGCCCCTAGCATACTAGTAAAGTCTTGGGTTCCTTTTTACCTGGAGAAAACTGTGTGTTGTATTGTATGTGATACTGCATCACAGCAGCTGCACCTCCCTGTTCAAACTCCTAGATCTCTCCATGTATCTAAGCAACCTTGTTTTAGGATCCACCCTGCTCCCTTTATTTGAGGACAAAATTAGAAGAGGTACCTCAAATATTACCACCCTCAGACAGCTCAGCAGACACACTGCAACCCCCTCATGGGTCACCACATGAGTCGCCATACGAAATCTCAGAAATCCAGAGCCTCCCTAGTCTGTGGCAACCAGGAAATGACAGAACTTTGAAGGACAGACCAACTTCACTTGAAAGACCAGAAAGACAAATAGCTTGGGCTGCTGAGAACTACAGTGCAGAGTTGAGCAAGACCAGAATGCCTGCTGAAGTTCAGATAAGAGAACATGGTGAAGGACACATTTTTTATGGGAAAGGCAAAGCTGGATTTAGGAGGTAGGACTTACCAGCAAAAACTGCATTCAGCTACTTCATAGGATGAGCAAAACTCTCATGACGTGCAGACTTCCTCTAGACAGCACACATCAGTTGTCATTACCTACGCCCCTGTAATGACATGAGATGATACTGATAAAGACCCATTAACTCTTGAGCTAAAGAGGACTGTCTTCCAAAGACAGGATAAAGCATTTGTATGGGTAACTTGAATGCTAGAGGTTGGGAAAGGTCATGTCACCTGGAAAAAAATTATTGGAAAAGAAAGATTTAGCAAAGGGAAGAGCAGTGTGTGCCTCTTGCTGCGTACACAGAACATAATATTGTCACAACACCTCTGCTCCATCTCACAGATATGCACACAATCTCATGCACAGGGGGCACTATAGGCTCTGCAAAGAAACCTTAAGAGCAGGGGCGAGCATTTATTTTGGGCAGAGGGCCGCATACTGAGTTTTGGCAAGCCATCGAGGGACACATGACAGGCAGCCAGGGGCAGATAAAAAGTAATTTTCTAAATTTTTTAGGGGCCCCGCAGCAGGCTGCATCTGGCCCGTGGGCCACATTTTGCCCAATCCTGTTTTACAGTAAAGGATTATGATTGGCACAACTAATGCTTCCCTGCTTAAGCATGTCCTCAGAAATAATTGAATCATTTTGACTGAAACTGCTAAAATTCAACCTGAGGCAGATACCAAGGCTGGAAAATGTCAGCCCAGATTAATACAATTTGACTCCATTACAAGCCATTGGAAACAGGAGCCTCATGAACAACACAGGGCGCTGTGGTGTTGCTCTTGGCTCTGTGATAGCAGAATAACTGATGCCAAACTTCACCCACTCCCTTTCCCTCGTTCCCTCCTACTGCATCACTGCTGAAAAACAAAAGGGTCTGCTGCACCCTCTGCCAGATGTAATTCATGTAATAGACCTCACGCACTCACCTGACTATTTCCGACCACCATTATGATTGAATCACAGAGAAGTAGCCCTGGAAGGGATCTCCAGAGGTCACCTAGTCCAACCCCCTGCCTGAGGCAGGATGATACCTATTCAAACCATCCTACACAAAGTCAGCTGGTTGGAGCCTTGAAACCAGTAATGGTGGGGGTTGTGCGGGTAAATATTGTCTTAGCTGTGTCCACCATTCCCAGCAAGAGACCTGACACAGCCTTTATTTACTTTTAGGCTTACAGGCAAAGCTCCTGATGCAGAGACTATATCAGACCAGAGCAGACTGGTGTCTTGTCAGAAAAAGGGAGGAAGAAAGACCCAGCAAGGCTGAGGTGTGCATCCACCTCCCAGCCTGCACCCCCAAGAATGGGAACCCCAGCCACCTTGGCCTGCCTGCTCCTTCTCCTGCATCTCACAGCTGGGATCTCTTCAAAGTCGTAAGCCCTGTCCATGTCTGCCTGTATGTCTGTCCGTTCACATGGTGGTGGTTGGAGGAATATGTGGAAGCAGGACAGAGGGCCCAGGGGTGGCTGATCAGGAGTCAGTAACACCCTGTCCCGAGAACGCAGTCCCTGCTGCTGAGCCATCTTAAGCTCCTGATCTCTCCTAGAAGCAGAGGGAAAGGTATAAAGGCAACAGTCTGGGATTTAGGAGACTTGGGTTCAATTCTCATCTTCTACTCCCAGCTCCCTGGTTGACCCTGAGTAAGTCACAAGCCAGCCCTGAACCTGTTCTCCTTCCTAGAGCTGGCCAGTCTGTTTAGGCTGTGAGCTCCTTGGGACAGTATGTCTGCTGTGTATACAGCACCTAACAGAGTGGGGGCTGCTTTAGACTGGTACCTCCAAGCAGTACTGTACTAAAAATAAGCACTGTGTAGACCAGCTCTGTTAGAAGAGGCTTATCTTTGCAAAGTCAAGGGCTCACAGTGCTGTACTGCTGGTGTGAAGGGTCCCTAGATTATATTTGCACAAGGGACCAAAGGACACTTGTGTGAGCAACCTCAAATGGGACTTGTCAGTGTTTGACCTTACTGTCAAAATCTTCATGGATAATTTCCCAAGTTAAAAACCAAACAGAAGTTCCAGTGCTTGCAACAATACTAACCCTTACTCCCCCTGCCCTCACCAGCAGGCTTGGTACTTGTGATTGTTTGTGCTCATTGTGTTGGAAGAAAAATAGAGAAAGTACATTACTATAATACTGACATTACAGGATCCAGGATTACAGGATGACATTATACAGTTAAAATGGCTCAGGGTTCTGAGCCCTTACTTTGTCCCATGGCAGTGACTAACATTAAACATCTTTATCACTTTTCCCACCAGATAAAGAAAAAGGAGAGACATCTCAGGAGTTTCAAATGTAGAGAATTCAGTCTGGCTTTCATTCTTACATTCCTTTTTCCATTTCCCTTTAGCTGCACAGAATCTCCTAGTGAAATCACCCTGTCTGACATGCTTCTCCTCCATAGTACATATAGTGAGGGCTGCTCCTTCTGAGAAGAAGAGAAGGTTTTTAAAGTGGAACCAAGCTCCTGGTCCTACTTCCTTTATGGCAAACATGCACACAAGGGAGAAGAGAAACAGTAGAAAATGCAGTGGTGCCAGGTACCCTGCTGGTGCTCTCTTGCCTTCTTGCTTCTGGAGAGGCAGAGCGCTATACCGTCATGGCCTGGCAAACTGGTTTCAGTATTGGGGAGGGGGGCACCTGGTACCCCTGCTGCGAAGAACCCAGGCATTCAAGAGAGCTAGAAAATATCCAGCCTCTTCCCTCTGCACTGCACAGTGGGTCTCTGCTCACTTTTCAGCTACCAGCTGGTCTCTTCCAGCATCCTAAGTAAGCAAAAGGGTTGAGTGCTAGATGCAGTGGGGCAGGAGGGGTGGAGGAAAGGAGATCTTCCACAGCCTAATGCTCTGTGACTGGCTCAGGTTGAGCCTCAGCAATGTTGTACAACATCTTCATCAGCAGGAGGTGGGCCCCAAGCTGAGAAAATGTTGTTCTTTCCTCTCTCCCAGGTATTATGTGGTGGTGATACCAACTGAGCTCTACCACCCACACAAGGGGATGATGTGGGTCCATCTGGCCAACTTCAATGAAACCGTCCTGGTGACTCTCCAGCTGGAAAGACAGAGCCCATCCAGCAACATCAGCCTGCTGGAGAAGAAGGTCAAGGAGCCCAATCTGACGGAGAGTGTGTCCTTCTCGGTAAGTCACAGCCCCAGGGCTGCACAGCACCAGGCTATGGACTGGGAAAAGCTCTAGAGTGCTTCCCCCTGGGTCTCCAGCTTTGCCCCAGACTCAGCCTAGGGGACTGGAGGGCTCAGGAATTGGGAAGGAACAGTGTTGGGGACGAGGCATCCAGCCAAAATCTCTCGTCGCCCAGCAGAGCAATTCCCAATGGGCCGTGGAGCCAATAGCAGCTCTGTGACGAGTTTCCCATTAGGGCTGTGCGAAGCTTCAGGTGGTGATTTGATTTGGAGGAAATTCGACCCCATTCGGTGGCTGACTCTCTAAATCCGAATCGAATCAGGGGACCAATTTAAAGGTCCGTATCAATTCAAAGCTCTCTGAATCTTCGGCAAAGGTTTGGAGAGCTCTGATGATTCGGGCAGTCCTCGGTGGTCCTTGCTGCAGCCACTCGGAGTTGGGAAGTACTAGGGGCAGAGGAGTAGAGAGCAGCCCATGCGGGGACCCCTGCCAGCCCCCCAACCCAGCCCGCTCGCCCAGACCCACACCTACTCCCCCCGACCCATCCCACTCCCCCAGACCCACACACACTCCCCCAACTCCCACATGGCTGTCCTCACCAACCCCACATCGGTACTTTAAAACAAAGTCCTGGTGCTCACCGGGTGCTGCTGGGCAGTGGGCTGTCCCTACTGCCGGACACTACATGGGGGGCTCTGCACGAGCCACCTCGACCCCCTGCCTACTCCCCAGCCCCCCACATGGCTGCCCCACCTGCCAGGGCTCTGGCCCTTTAATAAAAAAAAAAAGCAAAGAAAAGCCCTGGGACACTGCTCCTGCTGCAGTCTCAGGGCGTAGAGCCCCCACGTGGCGCAGAGCCCCCACATGGAACGGGGCAGCGGGGGTCGCCCCCACCGGCAGGACCGGTGAATCCCGGGGTTTCTTCAGGTCTGTTTTTTCTTAAAGGGCTGGAGCTGGCCTATGTGGGGCACCCATGAGGGGCTGGGGCAGCTGGGGAGGTGATTTAGGAGCTCGTGCAGAGCCCCCCACACAGTATGGGGCATCGGGGATTGCCCCCCAACCCAGCAGCACCTGCTGAGCCGGGGATTTTTTTCCCCCAGATGCTGGGAGCTGTGGTGAGCAGGTGGCCATTGTGGGGATGGGCCTGGCCTGGCTGATTCGGAGATTTGGTGGGATGGAATCAGGACAGTGATTCGAATCACCAAATCAAACCACTGTCCCCCGAATCGGCTGAATCCGAAGCGAATACTAGCCACTTCAAACAAGCCTGCTGGCCCCTCCCTGGCTCCAGACCCAGCTCGGTCATTTAATGGGAACATTTCCCTGCAGCTCAGGAATATGAGGTTGTCCAGAGCCCAGCATCCCTGGTCCCTGGGAGTAGCTACAGTGGCATCTCCACACTCAAGGACACAATGCTCTGGGGCTGGGTTGCTGCCCCATTCAGACAGGCCACATCCAGTGTCCAGTCCCACTCCCTGGAATCAGGGCCATGCTCCACATTGCAGGTCAGGCTGAAGTCAGCAACTCCCCGTGTTATCCCATGCTGTACGCCACGCTTTTGCCATCATCTCCCTGCTAGCTCTCAATAGAGCTGCTGACTCTGACCTCTCCAGAGTCCTGCATGCCTTGTGACCTGTGGCTTAGCACAGGGACCCTCAGGCACCCCTGCCAGCCCCTCCTGTGCAAACCAGGCTGCATCACAACCATGCCATGGCTGTGTTTCCCTATGGGCAGGTGCCAGCCCCAACCACCAGCGGGGAGGAAGTGGCCCACCTGCACGTCTCAATTGAAGGAGATTCCCTGAAGTTCTCGGAGCGGAAGAAAGTGCTCCTGAAAGCACTGGAGCCTGGGACCTTTGTACAGACAGACAAACCCATCTACAAGCCTGGACAGACAGGTGAGCAGGCAGGAGCTGCTGGGGAGAGCTCGTGGGTTCTGTGCCCTTCAGATGGGCTCCTTGGCTCCGTGGGCTGGTTCCTCTGGGAGGACCAGAGTGGGATAGTGGGGCTCTCACTTCTTCCCCAGTGCCTCAACAGAACCCCAATAGGAGAGGGGCCCAGTGTTTTCTCCCCTGACACCCCGTGGTACCTGCACGAACTGAAGTGCAGAGTTCAGCTCAGTCCTTAGTGATGGGAGAGACCTGGCAGGGGGTTGTGATCAGTCTTGTCTCTGGCATCCTCAGGAGGGAAACCAAGGCTGGCTGGGCCCCAGAGACTAAGCTCCACTTTCCCCCAGGACAGGGCCATGTTGTTTTGCAGAGGACAGCATGGGGAAGCCTGTACCACTCTCCCCCAGGCAGTGCCCACTCTCACAAGAAGAGAGACCATTCATGCCTGGCCCCAACCCCACTGGCAATTCAGTCAGAGAAATGAATCTAGGCCTGACCTGTGTCTGCATTTGCTCTTTTCCAGTGAACTTCCGAATCGTCAGTTTGGATAAAGACTTTGTTCCCAGTAACAGGAAGGTGAGAACTGGGGCCATGCGTTGGTGGAGGGGATCATAAGGTCAGAGGAGAGGATAAAGAGGGTTAGGAGACCAGAATGTCACTAGGGTCACGCTGGATTCCAGCCCCCGTCCAATTGCAGCTTCTTCTGGGTGTATCTCTCCCTGTCTCACAAGAAGGTGATGTCCTAGATATGGGTGGTAGACAAGTAGGGACAGATTATCGAACGAGTTGCCACTTTCTAGCAGCGCCCAGAATATGGTCCAGGGGAAGTGGCTTGGACATGTCACCATAAATTTAATGTCACAGGCAGAAGCAGAAGTGTTTAACTCCATGTGACTTTAACACTGTCACTTCCTTTATTTTCTTCTGAGGGTTTTGGGCTTTAGGAAGCAAGCATTATCTTACATGAGTTGCTCTTCTGTATCTATGTATAAGCCCTTCCTGAGGTCAGCATTTAAAGGAAAATATAGGATGCAGATCAACGCCGAGTTTCATACCTGCATGTAAAGAACCCATATAGCATCTTTTTGCTTACCTCCTTTTCCTCTTCTTCTGCTCCTCCTTAGGAGCATCTGCACGAGACATTTACTGTGCAGTGGACTAATTAGCTGCATAGTAAACGTCTGGGCATCTTACTATGCACCCCAATTAGGCTGGAGAATCTAATTTTACTCCAGCCTAAAAAACTCCACAGTAGCTCATGTGTAGATGCTGTGCCACCTGGGTGGGACATGAGGGTGCTTCAGTGCAGGGGCTGCCTCCTGGCCAGTCCTGCACCAAAGTACCCTTGTGCCCCAGCCAGCCCCTCCACAGCACGCTGAGTCGGAGAAGCAGCCCTGGGCTGGCAGGATGACCCCCCCACGTCCCCTGCCACCTGGGGCTGCTCTGTCCTGGCTCAGTGTGCTGCAATCCCAGCCACATGTGCAGGTGCGCACACAGGAGCAATAAACTCCAAGGCAATAACCCTCAGAGTTTATTGCTGTGTATTAGTACACACATGAAGATGCGCCCCCTGAAAAAGTCTGTCCTCAGTGAGCCTGCATGATTCCTGCCCCTGTGCCAGATATTAAATGTTAACCTCCATGTTAGGGTTTGCATTGTCTTTGACAAGGTGTTCTTTGCCTGGCTGAATACCCTCATTCAACTCCAGAGGGCCCATCTACAGAGACACAGCTCATACTCTTACTTCCCACCCAGTTCATGCTGGAAGTTCCCCATTCAACCCCACCATATAATGTATGGCAGTGGGGGGGAGGACAAGGTGGGGGAACAACAAGGTGGGGGAACTGAGTCATGTACCTGAGTCACAGAAATAATACAAGATCATCCTACATTCTTCTTTAAGACCCAACTCAGTGGGACACCTTGGCCACTGCGGGCTCCAAGCAGTTGTTTCTTTCAGTTTGGATGGTCATTGAAATTAAAAGTTTGGGAAATTCCCAAACACAGCATGGGTAACTTGTAAATAAGGCAGCAGGAAAAGCCAACACCTCAACACCGCCACCTCGACACCATGCAAGACCAGAGCCTTCTTGTGAACAGATACAGTCTTAGCAAATTGAAAACATGTAGCTAATGTCATTTGGATAGCGCAACCAGGACTGCAATTCCTTTATGTCCAAATCTGTCAAAAAGCAAACAGGCAAGTCCAGAAGTTCACGGTGAAAATTGTGTAAATAACCTTACTAACCCTGTGCCAACCCCCTCAAGCCAAACACCTGGAACAAACACCCCTTGTGTCTTCACCATGGGATTGCAGCATGGGATGCGTGCCGTACTGAGACAGGCCTAGGCAGACAAGGTTCCTTGGGTGAATTTGATATCTTTTATTAGACCAACCCAAATGGTTGGAGAATAGTTATTAAGCAAGCTTTCGAGTTCAAAAACCCTTTGTCAGGCTAAGGAAGTTTCAGCAGTTGGTGTGTGCTCTTCCTGGATGGAATGAAAAGTACTGAGACAGGCCGTGTTTGTTCTGTGCTTCCTTCCTGCTAAGCCGGAAGGAGTGCAGCTGCATGAGGGTGGTGCTGGGCACTCACCATCCAGCTGTGCTCCATGAGGGCGAGACATCCAGCTTTGCTGTGCCAGCTCTGACTTTTCTGCCATCTTGCCTTCATGTCACTGCTCTCTCAGTCACCCTCACTGCTTGCCACGGTTCCTCCCCCATTCTCTTGTAAACACCCAAGCCCGATGAGGTCCCAGGCAGACCCCTGGGCAGCTAGCAGTTCCCCTCCCTCTAACGAGCTGTCTTATGTCTGTTTGTTTTGCAGGTGCCCCTGGTGACCCTGCAGGTCAGTCTGTCCCTCTCCGGCCTGGCTCTCTGGAAAGCAGCAAGGGGGTGTTCAGTCTTGGGAGCTTAGGGTATCTGGGCTCTCACCACAGCATCCCGCCAAGCCAGCCCCTCTGCCCTATTCGGGGAAGGGTAAAGGGTCCCAGAACAGCAGGCACATCTGGAATGAGCCTCATGGGTTGTTAATCTGTACAGTCTGGGGTTTTATCTGATTTGGATGCAGGTGGGTTTGGCCCTGCTTCGCCCCTACCTGGGCCGCTCATCCTGAGCATTTCCAGCCCTTGTACTCCAGGTCAGCCACCACCTTGAGCAGGCCAGTGTTGCAAGCAGCAGGATGGGGGACTTGGGTGAGCAGCGTGGAGAATGGCATGGACGAGGGTAGGAGGATCCCTGATAGTGCCAAGAGAGGGGAGACAGGAAGATTGGGAAGGTTTCATGGGCAGAGGGGGACAGTGAACACTACCCACAAAGACCTCAATTGGAGCTGGAAAATCCTCCAGGGTCCTAGTCCATCTCCAGGGTCAGGGCAGGAACATCTGCTCCATTTTGTTTCTTCAGCTTTCTCGAGGCTAGAGATGGGCCTTCCCTAGCTAGCCTGGGTTAACTATTCCCAACCTAAGCAACGGTGCTGTCTGGGCAGGGCGGGCACTTGCTGAGGTTTGATTCTCTTCAGGGTAAACAGAGAAGGCCTTGAGTGTCTTGAGATGTGGACCCAGGCGCTAGCCCCGGTACTAGGCTCACTTTGAGGGGAAACCCCAGAGCCTTTCTGTGGGTGAGAGTGGCTAACTCATGTGTATCTGCATGTTCAGGATCCCAACGGGAACCGGATCGCTCAGTGGCGAGATGTGGCCCCCCAGCAGGGCATCGTGGACCTGTCCCTCCCTCTGTCTGCAGAGCCGGCCTTGGGGACGTACTCCATCGATGTGGAGGGCACTAAGCACTCCTTCAGCGTGGAGGAATACGGTGCGCAGGGGGACCCAGCGCAGTAACAGAGGCTGTGTCTCTGGTGGAGGAGCAGCAGTACAGTCTGTAAAACTGTTGGTGGGCCATTTATCTGTGTCCCTTCAGAGGGTCTCTGGGAGCCTGATCCCAGAATTCCCCAGAGCCACCCACCACCGCCCCACAAACAGCATCCCAACAGCACCACATCCTGGCTGCGGGGGATCCAGCCTCCCAGTCCATTCAGCTTCTGTCAACACCCTCATCCTCTGGACCTGTGGGCCAGGGTCAGATGTGGCCCCCAGCTGCCTCCAACTCCAGGCTCCTCCTTCGGCCTCAGAGGCACTGCTTCCCTGACCCAAAAACATCTCACACTCTTACAAGGCTCTAGAAACCAGCTTGCACTGAGCTCATCACCTGCCCACTCGGCAAGCCGCAAGGCACAGAGTAGCCAGTTCTGATCAAGGGCAGCCTGGCTGGGAGCAGTGGGCAAAGCAGGCAGATTTCCCAATGCGGGGCCCAATGTGGTATCAGTGCTACTGGGGTCCAGGGAGAACTGGTAAGAGTGGGCAAAGATTAAGGCAGACCCAGGAACAAATGGTGAGAAGCTCCAATGCCACAGGCCTGGCACTGAAGCTCCTATGCTGGGAGCTGTGACCCCTGTATCAGTGGCTCCTTTTCTGCCCCACAGTGCTGCCCAAATTTGAAGTGACCCTTGACTTGCCCCCTGTGGTGACAGTGGTGAAGGAGACATTAGAAGTGCGAGTGTGTGGCCGGTAAGTACAGAATCAGCCACATCAGGGAGGTTCGAGGTAGGGCATGGGTGTCTGCCCAGGCCCAACACCCCTGCAATACCACTCACCCCAGAAAGGCAGAGTGGGCAAGCATCACCCTTCCTCTCTTGTTGACCTCTTAACTCTACTACGCAGATACACCTATGGGAAGCCCGTTCAGGGGACAGTCCAGGTCAGCCTGTGTCGAAAAACCTGGCGTTTCTGGTTTAGTCGTAATGAAGCCCAACAATTGTGCATGGAGTTTACTGGCCAGGTGAGTGCAACTGGGGAGGAGAGAAAAGTCTGTGGGATATTTCTGCTTGGCTGAACTGAAGGGGCATTGTGACTTGCATTGATGACAATGCTAATGATGCATATCAGGGCCATCCAAATTCTTCAGCCCTGAACACCAGATCCAAACCACGGGCTTCTCACGAACCACCTCCAGGGGGGAGCTGGTGGCTTGTCAGAGCAATGCTGTAGCCACTACGTTAGCATGGCTCTGGAACCCAGGGAGTGAACATGAACAATGGTCCTCCCTGCTTTTTACCCCAGCACTGATTCGAGTCACCAGTAGGCACTGACAACCCAAAGTTGGGGGT